TGCTTGGCTTCCAAGGGAGGAGGGCAGAGATGGACCACTGTCTTTGAGGAAGGCAAGGAATCAGGGTAGTTAGAGGGAGCATTCTGACTATAGTAAAGTCTTAACAGAGGCTTTAGCTATTCTGCAGGGGCTCTTTACTTGGGTGGCTTGGCCGGGAGGTGGTGGCGCACGTCTTTAGTCCTAGCACTCGGGAGGCAGAGCCAGGCAGATCTCTGTGAGTTCGAGGCCAGCCTGGACTACCAAGTGAGTTCCAGGAAAGGCGCAAAGGTACACAGAGAAACCCTGGCTCAAAAAACAAAAAAACAAAAAAACAAAAAAGCAAAAAAAACCCTTCCCCCTAACTACACCATGGGGCAGTCATGTGGTCAGTTTATACTTGGGTGGCTCTTCACAGTCCCAGAGGGTTTAAGATCCTGCACTGACTAGGTGCAGAGGGGAAGTATATCACTGGACTAGATATCCCAGACAGTGCTAGTACATTCCTGCTGTCAGATAGGCAGGCACTTTCCCATGGGTTCTGAGACTATGTGCTGAGTAGCACATCACTCAGTAGACTGCTTATGTACTATTTGCTGGGTACAGAACGAGGATACCTTGTTTAGTTTGATCCTTACAATCTTATGAGGTACAAAATATTACCCCTGCTGTACCTGTTGTGGTTATAAGGCTATGGCTGAGAGGTGTTAAAATTTTCCACAAATAATGTGGCTGGCTTTCAACATCTATGCTTTTTCTATTATCTTTAAATTTTATATAGTTTGCCTTTAGTGAATGTTTACCAAGTATACACTGTTATTCAAAGGTTTAGGCCTAGAAGATTGTAGGGGCCAGTGTGGATGGAGGACACCAAGGAAACAAGAGCTTCTAGACACAGCAGGACTGACACACACATGAACTCGCAGAGACTATGGCAGCATGCCCAGGGCCTGCACAGCTCTAAGACAGATAGGGTTCATCTTGAGAGAGGAAGAGGACACGAGCACCCATCCCTAGCCTAGATGCTATCTCTAACTGATAACAGCTCACAAAAGAACAGTTAGTTTTCTCCATAGAGTCTCAGTGGGTACACAAACTAGACCTAAGTGCAGGCCATATCCATCAGTAGATGGTAAACACAAAATGAACTCAAGGTATTTTTGGAGGTTTTTTTTTTTTTTAAAGTCTCACAGTGCTTTATCTGGGCATCTTTCCTTCCCCCTTTTCCCCCTTCCCTCCCCCCCCGATCTCTCCTCTCCTCTCTTCTCTCTCTCTCTCCTACCTTACTTCACAAATCTTTTGCTTATATTTATGGTTTCCAATTTTGTTTTTATATTTTTTGGGTTTTTTTTTTTTGGTGTGTGTAATGTGAATGAGTGTGTCTCAACTTCTGTATGTGTTTCTTGTGCTTTTTTTTCTTTGGCTTTCTTTTTTCCTGTTTGTTGGTTTTGTCCTTTTTTGGTTTGTTTTTTGATTTTATCACCATTGATATTTTAGATCCCTATGAATATTCTAATGAGAGAGGGAGAAAAGAATGTGGATTTGGGTGGGTGGGGAAATGGAACTCTGCGAGGAGTTGGGGGAGGGGAACTGTAATCAGAATATATTGTATAAAAAAATCTATTAAAAAGTTAAAATGTTTGGCCCAGTTCTGGTTTCACTTTTGTTGCTGTGATAAAATCCCCTAACAAAAGGTAACTTAGGCAAGCAAAGGGTTTACTGGGTTTATAACTCCAGGCGATAGTCCATCATTATGGGGAGTTAAGGCAGAACTCAAGCCATTAGTGACCCCACATCCCAGAAGAGCAGAGAGAAACACATACATCCATGCTGTCTGCTTTCTTTCGCCTCACTGTTCTCACTCTCATATAGGCAGGGGTCCTCTACCCAGGGAATGGCACAGTCCTCCTGATCAATCTCCCACAAGATGTGCCCACAGCCCAACTTGACCTAGATAATTCCTCGACTGAGGGCCTCTTTTCAGAAGACGTTAGATTGTGGGAGTCGACATTTTAAAAACTAACCATCACAGGTCCACTGAGGCACACAAAACCACACTAACTGCTGCCCCTATTTTATTAAGTTCAAGCTTGATAGAATGCAACAAATCAAGAGTACTTGGTTAAGAAGTGATGCTATGAATTGGGAATGAAATTTAGTAGTAGAGTGATTTTGTAGGGTTGATCCTCAGCACAGATCAAAAAAGAGAGGGGCGGGGCAGGCTTGGGAGGAGGAGGGGGAGGAGGGCAGGAAAGGTGGAAGGAGGGTAAGACACTGACACATCAGAAGGTTTTGTTCAATAGATACAAGAGAATAAATCTCAGTTAGGTCTTATTTACTTTTGTAACAAAACAGTTACTCAGTTGAGCAAAGACTTTTCTAGAACACAGTGAAAAAGAAAAAGGGCAAACAATGTCAAAGGGTAGGGGCAGAAAAAAGAGACTAGATCAAGAAGCCCTTCTAATGAAAGCTTAAAGAAAAATTAACCAGAAGACATTAAAAAAAGGATATTTACATTGAGATGTAATTGGACCCACCACAATAACCTTGACAACACTTGGGTGAAGCACCAGTCCAGGATCTTAAACAGAAGAGCACAGGTGATCTGCACCAGAGTAATAGATTACATAACGTTTTATAGCAGAAAAAGTAAGTGTTAAGATTTAATGGTAAATTAACTTTAAGGAAAATAAAATGACTTTTAAGACTGGGAAAATCTCAGAGAATGGAGATTTTTCTAGGGAGCTACTTGAGAATCCACCCAGAAAAATGACAAACTTTTTTTTTAAGATTTATTTTATTGTATGTGTATGAGTATTTTGCCTGCATGTATATATATATGCATCACATGCCTAGTGCCCATGGAGGCCAGAAGAGAGCATTGATTCCTTGGAATCAGAGTTATAGGTAGTTATGAGCCACCATGTGGGTCTCCAGAACCAAACCAGGTTCTCTGTAAGAACAGCAAGTGCTCTTAGCTGCTCAGCCATCTCTCTAGTCCTCCTTTTCTAAAAAAAATACATAAATTTAAGAAAGAATGAAAGACAATTTATAATACTAACCCAAGAAACTATCAAATCTTGAAATTATGTGTAAATAATTGTAGAAACAAAGTGGGAAAATCAGTCAGTAAGTGAAATGCCATCATTAGGAGTGACTCATGGATAGAGAACTAGGAGTATGTCAAAATTCTTGACTCAGGTTGTGATTTCAATAGTTCCTTAAAAATAACTTTTTGTTGCATGCTTCAAAAATATGATCACTGTAACAAAGAACCAATAATGTAGGCTATGATATTAAAAATAGGCTATTCTTTTTAATAACATTTGAACAGTTGGAACTAACATGGTATGTGACATAGCAAAGCACAATTAATTTTGTCAAACAACCAGCAAACATTCCCAGTAGGTATATGCATGAGATACTTATTGTGTAATCATTGCAGTTAGGAAGCTTGTACATTTCCCGTATCCATAGAAAAAATAAAGCAAAAGTTTTCTTTAAACAGAAACTCTGAGTTATTTGGGTTACTATGCTTGCTTTGGAAATTAGGAGTTTTTTTTTTTTTTTTAACTGTAAATTCAGTGTGTGTCATTTGATTAGTTGTGGATATCATCATTACAAGCCAAAAGTTAAAGAATTCAGGTTAAATATTTGAAAGCTTAAAAGAGAAAAATTGACAAATAACTTTTAAAGGAAAAATATAAATTATTTGGATGATCTTCTAAGGATAAGAAATCAGGCTTAAAGAATTTAAGTTGTATTATTTTTGTGACTACAGCTGATGCCCCATAATAAAGCAATTTTATGTTCCTTCGTTTTTATGAGACTTTATTTTTTTGTTCTTCTCTTCAAAAAGGACAGGTCTTGCTACACAGTCCAGGCTGTCCTGGAATCTGTGATCTTGTAGCAACACCTTCAAGGTAGCACGTTGCCAGCCACTGTATTATTAAAAAAGAGTGATGCTCATGGTTCATTTGTCCACACACATAGAATAGAGAGCACACAAACATTAACACAGCATGAAGACTGTGCCTGAAAAAGGTTCTGTAAAACTAACTTCAAATTAAGGGTCTTAGATGAATTTAAGTTCAGATTACTTACAATTTTTCTAAAAGTATTTTAGAGGTACTCACTCATGGTGTTTTAAGGTAAACAATGAAATAATGTTTAGATGAACTGTGGGTAAGTAGTACAGGAAAGATTACCTCTCAAGGAATACAACTAGTTGTAAGATGAATGAAACAAGAGGAACTTAGGGGTAGCTACATTCTTGGAGACTGGCAATACTGGGCTAATTATGCATTTCAGCTTATCTTCTAGTATTTTTTAAAAGAAAAAACTTGCCACAGTGTCCAAATCACTGGTTATATTATGAACATAGTTACATACCTTATATATATATATATATATATATATATATATATATATATATATATATATATATCAATAATCATGTTGGGAATTCTGGTGCTTTTAGAAAACAAGTAATAATAAGGTAATATTTACTTAAGTAGCATTGATATGTACAGAGTATCTTTCTAAATGGCTTGTCCATTTATTTTTACCTCACTTATGCCAGAGGTATAATTATTACTCTCATTTCATATTTCATGAGTTTAGGTGATCTGTCCAAGGTCATATAGACAGTGCTGGGCTGAAACTGAAGTCTAGCATCAGTTCTTAACCACCAATCTTCAGTCTCAAAATGTACTGTCATTCATCTTTAGAAGAAAAAAAAAAAGAAAAAACAAAACTTGAACTTTCAAAGATCAAGTTTTGCTGAATGAAAAATAACTTTTCATTTTATAGTGAATGTTCATTTTTTTCTTTATAGTAAAATGAATCTGTAAAAGGAATTTTTTTCTAAGTCATGGGATGAGTTCATGGCTCACACAAGGAACCATGAGCTGAGCCCATCAAATCCTCCTTGGAGAGACTGTACCAGATTAAGTGCTGTCAGTCACAAGTTCCTGTGGTAAAGATATTTTACAAGTGTCTGTCATGCAACTTACTGTCCATACCTTCCAGATGTATTCTTTAATATGGCCAGAGCATCTGGGTAACCATCCATGTTGTAGTCTCCAACATGAAGGGTGAGTGGAATTGGGATTGATGTTGGTTGTTCTTCATGTGAAAATGGCACAAAGCCCCAGAGTGTACCCTTGTTGCTAAAATCCTGAAGCACAGGTACCCACTAAGGATAAAGAGGAAAAAGATTAATCACAATCACTTTAGGAAACAGTCATTATTTGCAAAAGGAATGATTTATTAAAATGCTGAAGACAGCCATCATTTTACTTCTTCATCTTTACACAAGGATAGGCTATTACAATTTACTGTGGTCCTTTGATGTACGCGTAAGACACTGGAGAACTGGTCTTCCATAGGCTTTGTCATGAGCATCTTTGCTTGAACAGCACACAGAGCCACAGGTCCCTCATAACATGCATTCAACCTTGGGAATGAAAAGCTCCATCCTCACCTGACAGGCACTGCACAGACAAGGAGGATGAGCTATGACAACCAAAGAGCTAGAAACAAAGGTTTCGTAATGCTTCTTATTTCTATAGGACCACAATGAAAAGAACAGGTTGCCTTTTAAGTGAGCTTTCTCTCTCCTCTTCTGACTGCACAGCTCTTTTCAACCTTTGATAAATTAATATAACACTGAGATCTGAAGAGTAGAAATCATGGCACTACCATTACAGATGTGCACATGTTCCCTTTAGAGTCACTGAACCTGGACATGTCGTAAGTGGAAGCAGGTACAACTGACTTCACATGGCAGGTGGCCAAACATGCCTACACAGGCATTTTTCCCCTCACAAGCAGCTGATCAATTTTTATTGTTGCAAACTAAACTATATTAAAAACTGCTTCTTTAAAAAAGTATGGTGTAGCAAAAACAAAAACAAAAAACAAACAAACAAACAAAAAAAACTATCACCAACATTTAATAAGTTTTCCTAAGAAAGTGTAATTTGCCATGGGAAGAGGGAAGACCCTTAATGATAAAGACATTGGATACATTCATTTAAGGAAAAAGCATTACTTTATATTTTGTAAACTTTAAAAGATAAACATTTAAGTAATTTCACCTGATTTTGAAAAAAACAAAACTGTTACATTTTGCAAAAAAGCTAGAAATTTCTTTTAAATTGTTACAAATTTCTGAAGCAGGGACCAGTGTGGGGTTGTATGCCTTTAATCCTAGTGCTCAGGAGGCAGAGGCAACTGGATCTCCATGAGTTCACGGTCAGCCTGTTCTACATAGTGAGTTTCAGGACAGCCAGAGCAACACAGGGATACCCTGTCTCAAAAAACAAAACAAAACAAAACAAAAACAAAACCCAAAACAAAACCAAAAATTAAATAAGCAACAACAAAACCCAACAATAAATCAGAACCAAACCCCACCCCCCAAATTTCTGAAGCAGTCTATGGTTTATGAATGAAGGGTAAATACATGGTAGATAAAGTGTTTCTATTAAGATAACTGTATTAAAACACTTTTCACTCAATTTGGCATCTATAACACCCATCAAAGAACTGTGATGTTTGTCTTATATAGGTAACTATATAATTTTCTTTCTTCCTCTTTTTCTCCTCCATTTTTCAAGATAGGTTTTCTTTGTATAGCCCTGGCTATACTGGAACTCACTCTGTAGACCAGGCTGGCCTCAAACTCAGAGATCTGCTTGTCTCTGCTACCTAATTGCTGGGATTAAAAGTATGTGCCACTGTTCCCAACTAACTATATAATTTTCAAGGGTTTTTATTGTATATTTTTATACCTATGAACCAATGATGTATATTTTTATACCTATAAACCAGTGATGGGAAGTTTCTTGAGCTAGTACTTTAAATGATTCACAACTATCCAAATACAGTCAAAGATAATAAAATAATTCAATGATTTTTAAAATGCTGAATATATAAAGATGTGTTTTATTAAGTTGCTGAATATAAAATGTGATGTTTCCTACACAAAAGGGCTATAAAAGTCAGCATGATATCTATGATTTATTAGTTAGTCCCCCAAGAAAATGAAGCTGCCTAACTCTAAAAGTGTCGGGACCTATTATTTCCGTATCAATCTTCCACTGTGACTCTCATGATTCTAAACTATGAGGCAATGGGCAAAAAGTCAGCATGAGAAATGGAATGGATCTGCACATGGAAACAAAAACGGAATTATCTTCCTTGTAAGTTTTTATTATAATGTGCTTTCTATATTGCTGGCATCTAAAATGCTACATTTAATTTAACTATAGGATCTAGAACGGCGTTTCCTCACCAAAAGTCAACACAGCAGCATTTTCTACCCCAGTGAAAGAACGAAAAGATTTAAATGTATTTTACTTAGGTAAAGCAAAGAATTCTATAATGTAATTTTGGATTTTATTCTGTTCTGCTTCTTTAGACGTATTTTCTAACGTTCAAGATTTTTCAAGCGTATAAACATCGTTTATAGCATCCCCAAAGCTGACATACCTGCCCTGTTCCGGATCTCATTAAGTATATGGCACTCTTCTGACAGTCTTTATCTTCACAGCCTGGTAGCAGGTGATCCATGTGTCCATCTCCATCTGTCAAAAGGAACTTCAGGAGTCCATTAACAGTCCAGAATAAGGTCTTCATGTGTGATAGTTAAAGCTCCTATTTGTTAAATGATTCCCCCAATCCAGACAAAACCAACAACTTGACACATGGCTTTATAATGAAGGGGAACCATTAAAAAACAACACTCTGGTCCTTGTCACTTATTATCTAGACTGTATCTTACTTGTTTTAAATTGCAAAATTCTTTGTGGTTAGATGTTATTATATATAATTATTGAGGTTAATCCCGATTTAAAATCATTTTAAAACATATTTAGAATTATTACTATTAATTATTATTTTGGTTTGGGGACTGAACTCAGGTGCTTACACATATTGGGTAAGTGCTTTTACCTCCAAACATAACCAACTTTTAAGAGGTAGTTTTTGATTCTGTTATATAATTATCTATATTGAGACACAAGAAACACATGTATGCACACAGTAACTTTATTATACAGCCAATTTTAAATACGGAGGATGTATATGTAGCTTTAAGTGCCTTTTAGCCAGCATGAACTTCAACTCATGAGTTACAGAGTTTTCTGTTCTTTGGCTTCTCAAAGCATCCATATATTTTCATCAATAAAGACATAAATGAAGGGAACACACTCACTGCTATGTGCAACTCCCATGTACACTGGATAGCTATGAATGTGGTCCAAAACATAACTGTTAACTAATTAAAACATTTAGAGACATTTTGAAAAAAAGAATTTGATCACATAGTTCTTGAGTGTGAACTTCAGAGAGTGTGAACACCAGGCTGCCTGGCACGGCTTCTTTACATCTGACTGGATTTTTGGCAAGAGTGCTACTATATACCTTCTGAGACAGATACACCAAAGGCCCTGAAAGCACCTCTTTTGATGCTCCCTCATACATGCAGATCCCACTGTCTGAGGTTTAGAAAGCTTGAGGGACTAGAGCTAAAGCCTTCTGCAACTGGAGTAGTAATTTAACCTCTAAATTTGGGGCATCTTTTGAGCTCCTTTAACCACTAAATTACTTGCTATGAGTTACTCTGTCATTTCACTTGGGCTCAATGTAGTATTTACGGTTGGCTGGAAATCAACAGATTATCAATACAGATATAGCCTTCATTGTATAGAGATACATGAAGAGAAGTATATGACTAAAACAAGCTTAAAGCACCTCAGATTTCATTTGAAAAAGAAAAGAAGTTAGACTGCATGGGATGAAGTTCTAGCCAATGGAGCCGGACCTTAATAAAAAGTATGTTTTTTTTTAAGATCACTTCCAGTATTTTAAAGCCATTCAAGGGGTAGTAAGTATTGGAAGGCACCTCCTCCTGCTCTTATCTATTGTCTTCTACAGGGTCAGTCAATGTGTTAGCTTCCTGCATATCTTTATATAAATACATAGAGCATGTGCTTTACAGTATATTCTATAGTTTGGCTACCTTGAAAATTTGACAAACCATGTTTACTTTTTAAAAAATGTTTAAAATTTTAAAAATTATGTGTATGTGTCTGTGTGTATGTGCATGTAAATGCATGTACCCATGGAGGCCAGAAAGAGGGTGTCATATCACCCTGGAGCTACAGGCATTTGTAACTGTCTTATGTAGGTGCTGAGAACGGAACTTGGGTCCTCTGTAAGAGCAGTACACACTCTAGACTGCTGAGCCATTTCTCCAGTCCCAGTTTACTGTTATCTTTGAGAGAGCTTGGTATTGTTAAATTTACATCTGGCTCCTGCATAGCATCTGTTACACTGTATGGAAAATACCTCAATATACTTTGTTCTTACCTGATGTCCTAACACTGAGCTGTGACAAGTCCAAATAATCCAACAATAACTAACTTAGTATAATCATATTATTATTTATTGTGTAAATGACATAAATGGAAAACTACTGCTTCAATCATTACACGATATTAAATTTTTTGTCTAATTTCCATAAAGGGGTTCTTTTTATATTTAAAACTCAGGATACTACACTCTTACTGACAGGTCATTCTGACAGAAAATAAACAGAGAAATAACTGAATTAAATGATATCAGACCAAATGGACTTAACAGATATTTATAGAGCACTCATCCAAACACTGTAGATTACACATTATAAAACTAATGTTTTTGTAAAATTTTGTAAAATTAATGTATTTCTCTCTTGATTTTTTTTTCAGTGATCCACTTTTTCAGTTGTCCACTGTTATCTTCAGGAGTCTGTGTACAATCTCAGGTTGTTATCTTCAGGAGTCTGTGTACACTCTCAGGTTTCTCTTGCTGCTGATTTATAGTCTTATCCCATTGTAATTGGATAGAATACAACCAATTATTTCAGTATTCTTGTATTCAATATTTTGTGCCCTGCTATTTTAGAGACATTAGAAATAAAATCAGTCTTAACAATAGTTAATGGTACATGTAAAGGCCTCAGAAAAAAAAAAAAACAAGCCAAACCCCAAATCACAGAAAGTTCACAATTCACAGAAAGAAATCATTAAGACCAAGACCAACATTCAAGAAATGAAAAACAAACAACAACAACAAAACCACACAGAAAATCAACAAAATGGTTGGTTCTTTGAGAAACCCTTAGCCAAGTAACCAAATGAAAGAAAAGATAAATTAATAAAATTAATGAATAAAAAGGGGACCATTGAAGCATATACCAATGAAATACAGAAAATCATTAGGTCTTATTTTAAAAAGACATACTCAACTAAATTGGAAAGATCTAAAAAAAAATGATGAATTGATGCATATAGCCTACCAAAATTAAACCAAGATGAGATAATTCAATGAAATTGAAGCAGTAATTAAAACTCTCTCACCTAAAAAAGTCCAGGCCCAGATGGATTCACTGGTGAATTTTGCTAGACCTTAAAAGAATACTAATGTTTCTTAAACTATTTCATAAAACAGGAAAGGGAGGAGCATGTCCAAGCTCTTTATGAAGCTAATATTACCCTTTTACCAAAACCAGACACAGATGCAACAGAAAGAGAAAATTACAAAGCAATTTCTCCAATGAATACACATGCAAATATTCTCAACAAAATATGTGTAAATCAAATTCAAGAACACACCCAGAAGATCAGTATTCATTATTCTAATAAAGTTGGCTCTATTATAGAGATGTAGGAATAATTCAACATATAAATCAATAAGTGCTATAAATTGGACTCAAGGACAGAAATACCATGGTCATCTCGATACACTCAGAAAAGACTTTTGACAAAATCTAATACCTCTTCTTGATAAAAGTCCTGAAGAAACTCTGAATGAAAGCAACATACCTCAGTTATATAAAGGCTATATCCAACAAACCTCTATATAACATTATATTAAAGTTGGAAAAATTTAAATCATATCCAACAAAGTCAGAAACAAAGTAAGACTTTCTACTTTCTCCACTTTTATCAAACATAATACTGAATACTAGCTAGGACAAGAAGATGTGGGAAGTAAAAGGACATAACAAGAGAAGGAGGAGATAAAAGCAGCCCTATTTGCAGATGGGATGATTCTATAAGCAAGAGACCCCAAAGGCTTTAGGAGAAAAAAAATCTTAGAGTTGCTAAGTAGTTCAGCAAAGTGTCAGGAAGATTAACATACAAAAAGACAAACAAACAAACAAACAAACAAACAAACAAACTTGATAGTTGTTCTAGTTGAGTTTCTTCCTGAGAAAACACTGACCCAAAACAACTTGGGAAGAAAAGGACTTATTTCAGCTTACAGGTAACAGTGCATCAATGAAGGAAGTCAGGACAGGAGTTCAAGCTGGAACTAAAGGAGAAGCCATGGAGGATTCTGCTGTGGAATAGTCCTTCTGTATACTGTATGAATATATGTCTCTATGATTGCTTTAATAAACAAGCTGACTGGCCAACAGCTGAACAGGATAAAGTCAGGCAGGAAAGTCAAACTGAGAATAATGGGATGAGGAAGGGCGGAGTCAGAAGAGATGCCAGCCAGAAATGGAGGAAGTAGGACATGTAGAAAATGAGGTAACAAGCCACGAGTCACTTGGCAAAGCATGGATAAGAAATATGGGTTAATTCAAATGAAAGAGTTAGCTAGTAACAAGCCTGATCTATTATTGGCTGAGCATTTCAAATTAATATAAGCCTCTGTGTGGTAATTTGGAAGTGGCTGCTGGGACAGGAAAACTCCACCTACAGGACTCTGCTTGCTGGCCCATACTTAGCTAGCTTTCTCACACTCAGGTTTCACCTATGGCTGTTTCCCAACTCAGCACAAATGTTCAAAAGTGCCTTAGCACAGTGGCAGGCTGAAAGGCAGAAAATTTGGTTGTTGGTAGTTGGGTTTTATTTACATTTCTGTTTATTTTAACCCTTGATATTCAAGAAAATCTCTACCAAACATATATATATATGTATATGTATATATACATATACATATATATATATAATGAAGAAACAACGATCAGTGACTTTACATGACAAGAACACTGTAAAAACACTTAAGAAAATTACTAAATAGACTATTACAAATAATCAAAAAAGCAACAAACCCTGGAGAAGACGAGAATCGGTTACCACCATTACTAGAGGTAAAACTGAAATGTTTGCTTTGTAAACAAGAATGGCAGCAACAAAAGCACAGGGCACACAGAGAACAAGAGAAACAGTCTCTTCAGTGAAGAAGCAAAATGAAATCACAGAGGACACCTTGGTGGAAGACTTACCACTACATTTACCAGATTAAAAATGTAAAAACATGATCTGTAACAAGTTCAAAAGCAAAGGAAATATGACCATGAACTGGCCGCTATTAAGAAAACAACATATGAACAAGATGGTATCAAAACAGAGATTGTAAAACAAATATTCTGGAGCTGATACAGTACAACACATGAAGCAAGAAGTTCAACAGAGAGTGTGTGAGGGTCAATGGCAGAGAGGAGTAGTCACGACAAACAACTGGTAAACCTGAAGACAGCACAACTGACATTAAGTGGGATGGAGTCAGGTAAGCAGACTTGAAAGGT